TCTCGCATCTCATCGCTTGGCAACCTCTGCACCGATCACTTGACCACAACCTCCACAACCGGTGGCGGCGACCCTCTGACCCGCTGTGAAAGTTATCGTACGCTCTATGGCTTTAATCCGTCGACAAAACACGGGTCGATAAACAAGAAGATTTTGGACGATCAGAGAGCTTTCGACCTGAGGTGGCCCCCAGTCATCGGTGCTCTCGCCTTATGCTATGCCTTAAATCACGGCCCGTATCTCGTAAGTCATGTTCGCTATTATATAAGTCTCATAAACACAGGAATATTATATAAGTCTCATAAACACAGGAATATTATATAAGTCTCATAAACACAGGAATATTATATAAGTCTCATAAACACAGGAATACACAAAAACAACAATTCTTTCTCTAATCTCTTTTTTCTCAAAATATTTATTTTCGCTTCATTTTCAAAACTGTTATCTCTATTAAATGATATTTCATTTGGTATTTCATATGAAATGTTAATATCATTAACGGATCAACATTTTAGATAAATCGCCGGTACTTTAGATATTTGGGGAAACGAGTCGTTCATTATAAGAGATAAAAGCATTTTTTGTCTCAGAAACGACTTTTNAATGATATTTCATTTGGTATTTCATATGAAATGTTAATATCATTAACGGATCAACATTTTAGATAAATCGCCGGTACTTTAGATATTTGGGGAAACGAGTCGTTCATTATAAGAGATAAAAGCATTTTTTGTCTCAGAAACGACTTTTTATTCGTAAACTAAATCTTTTTGGCGAGTATTTTATGAAAAACATACCTTTTTAGTGTAGTATAGAAAAGTGTTTAAAATTCTTATTGCTTTTGTTTTTCGGCACAAATTAAATAAAAACACTAAAAATTCAATACATTTTAAAAGTTCACTATTGACCCCATAAGATATTACGGTAGGGAAGCTATTTTATCATAAATTAGTTACTCTAATATGCGTTCAAACACATGAATATTTTTATATTTATGAAAAATATATTAATGTTTTATTTTTTCTTAAAAATTCTCAAAATTTTTTTATATAATAGTCGATTCAATAAATCGTAATTTCTTTTCAAACTTCAAAGTGTTATTATATAATATTTGACTCTCTCTCTCTCTCTCTCTCTCTCCACTCATGTCTTCCTTCAGTAGCAAAGATGAGAATCAGTCAAACAGTTCTAATTTTGACAGTTTTGACTGAAAGCAACTTTTGTATAATTGTGTGCATCTATTGTCATGTTTTTTGATATAAAAATATGTTAAGACATTCTTCTTATTTTGATAGGAATTAATAAATAGTGAATGAATTTGTGTGTGAAGAGAGAGAGAGAGAGAGAGAGAGAGAGAGAGAGAGTTGAATTGTGCTCGTAATTGCATTAAAAACAAAATTGAGTGGAAATAATAAGTACTACTTATAAATTTTATTTATAATTCATTTCTGTTTTTAAATAAATTTTTAAATTAAAACTATTGATAAGAAATCGCAACAAAAAGTTGAATATTTAATTTCAGTTGTGTTTCCACAACAAAAAAGGTCTAAATTTAATTTCACTCGCAATTGTGTGTCAGTACTGTGGTGTTGGTATATGTTAGCAATGCATTTATGGCATACCTGGCCAATGGTGTCCTTAATCACTTCCAAATCGAGCGCTACATCTCTTTATCTATTACTCTATCTCTCCTTCACTTATATTAATAGTCATTTAATACACAACTGATATATAATTTATGTTATTTTCAAATCTATTAATGAACGGCAATTTTTCGGGAAATAAAAACGCGAAACATATTTCGCGTTTAGAAACAAAAAAAACTCTCAAATCGTTACTCACACTAAACATTATATTCAAAGAAAATATCATTATATGTGATGAAAGCATTAAAATAATAGTAAGAGAATGAGTACAACAAATGAGAATATATTGTGTGTTGTGTTATAAGCGGTCATATATTAATACATTCCCGAAAAAAGCTTATTTATCTTATCTGTAGTGTTAGGCCTCACGAGAAGCCTCTCAATCACTCATTGCATCCTTTATTTGATGCTATAATTGCTATTTAAAGGGCGATTGAGACCATTGAGAGTCCATTGAGACCGCATCGCCTTTTTTAATACACTATTCCTTCTCGTATGAAGTTATGCCGTAATTATTATTAAATCATTTATTATTATTGTTGTTATTTTTCTGACTCTTCTGCCTATTCTGTTGAGTTCATTGTCTTTCCCTATCATTGCATTGCAGGCATACCTTTCACGACAATATATTCTGTATATTAGAAATATTTTTAAGTTTCAATGTATATCTCTCTATAAAAAAGACTTTTTATTGTTATTATTTTCCACTTTATATTTTGTGTACACTTTTCGGATAAATTGTTGTGAATTTTTGCTTTCTTATCAGTTTTCGTGGTTTTCTTCGTTCAACTCTATTGTCACACAAACTTATTATCGGAATTCCAGTCAAAATACTTTCTCACATCACTTCAACCAAATCTCTCTCTCTCTCTCGACTGAATGAATGAATGAAGTGAATGAATGCCTGAATTGAGTAGAAAATTGATAGCTTAGCTAATAAATGACTGCATTTTAAATGAGTTTCTATTTCGAGTCTCTTTTTCTAAATAAGAAAGTCTTTTCTTTTCGTTTTTTGCCTCAAATTTGTTTCTCTCTTCAAACGGACATATAATTTGAGATCAAAATTGAGTTAATGTTAATGTCTTTCCCTATTGAAGGCAACGACCAATTATTCAAGAGAGAGAGAGAGAGAGAGAGAGAGAGAATATTAACGGCTTTCATTAACAAATTGCATGTGATTTCAATGATGAATGTCTTTCAGAAAACAAAACATATCTGATAGGAATATACGAAACCAGACTAATCGAAATATTATTATTGAAAAATTAGTAATGGAGGCTAATGCATAAAATAACATCTTGTAAGCTCAAGTTAAAAACTTTTACTAATTTTCATCATAAAAATCTCTCTCTCTCTCTCAGTCTCTCTCTCTCTCTCTCTCTCTCTCTCTCTAATCAGTTAAATAAAAAAATGTTATCCAAACATAAATTCCACAAAGTACATTTCTATTTACGGATATACATTACTGTAGATTTTATTTTTTAAATTTTATTTTAAGATAAAATGATTTTAATTTTAATGGCAATTTATTTAAAGCCATTCTTGACGTTAGGTCTATTATTATTATCCGTTATGATATTAATAACATTTCAATTGTCTATGAATTGAATTTTTGTTTTTAGATTTAGTTTTCTATTTTTACTGGACTACTGTCCCGTTTTAGTGAGTGTCCATTCAGTATATATTTCAGACACTGGGATGTCGTGTGAGGGTTAAAGTGCTCTCAAATGTAATTTCAAGTCAAACATTATTGTTACTGTATTTGTAAAAGTCATTGAAGTCTACCCTTTTGTACGGCATTTCATTTATAAATCGAAAAGCCATTCATTCATATATTTCTATGTTATATAAGCAGAGCTGAGACCACAAAAAGTGAGACTCTATTGCGGTATTAACCGATAGTTACGATCCGTTCATAATATCATTTACTGTATGTAATACTGACTCTAAAAATATGCTATTCTTTAATAATAAGATGAGTCGAGAGTCCTGTGTTAACATACAATTGAATTGAAGGCAATGCTATGCTATTAACATCTATTGTTGTGTATATAAAGCCATACAATAAGAGTTATGGGGGGAGAGGGGGGCAGAGAATGGGGTCGAATGCCTTTGCATTATTAAAATGACTCCTTAATTATATACTTACGTAAAGCACTCATACCTCACACATGCATTAAGTGCACACATCTTTAGGGCTTAACCAATGATAACATAAGCCATAAAATTTATTTTTAATTCTTTAACTTTCTATCTGATGACAAATATACCCATCAATGGTATTGTTTGTGTGGAAAAAAGCAATTATAAAAGTCTTATATTTTTTCAAGTATTACTTTTCACTGCTTTTTTATGATGAAAAAAGTTGCTGAATAATTAATAAAGTTTTTAGTTTTTTAAACCGAGTCCTTAACACATATTTTTTGGTAAAACATTTGCAAAATGAAAGTCCCGTTTATTGGTAGAGTTCGCACTATTTCTCACAATTGTCTAAATTATATACAATATTACATATTATATAACAACCATAGCTACTGTACAACTTAACAACTTGTTGTATAATTAATAAACAGAAACAACTGGTAATAACTTTAAACTTTAATTTATGACAACAAAATCATGACTTAATTTAGAGGTTAGAAATTTTCATATAATTGTCTCAAAATGAGATTATAATCATTTAATTCATTCTCTGAATAGTAATCTGGAAAATAGAGAAAAATAATCCAATTTTATATTGTATTCCACTTTAAGTCTGTATAATAGGAAAGGGCTTTGAATTCCAGCGTTAAGAAAAATTCGTGTCTATAATCACATATATTATAAAATCATTCAATAATATAAATATGATATTTAATCTCAATTTAATGCTTTAATAATAATCAAAATTATTTATTAAATAATATACTTCTCTCTCTCTCTCTCTCTCTCTCTCTCTCTCTCTCTCTCGACTGAATGAATGAATGAAGTGAATGAATGCCTGAATTGAGTAGAAAATTGATAGCTTTAGCTAATAAATGACTGCATTTTAAATGAGTTTCTATTTCGAGTCTCTTTTTCTAAATAAGAAAGTCTTTTCTTTTCGTTTTTTGCCTCAAATTTGTTTCTCTCTTCAAACGGACATATAATTTGAGATCAAAATTGAGTTAATGTTAATGTCTTTCCCTATTGAAGGCAACGACCAATTATTCGAGAGAGAGAGAGAGCGAGAGAGAGAGAGAGAGAGAGAGAGAGAGAGGATATTAACGGCTTTCATTAACAAATTGCATGTGATTTCAATGATGAATGTCTTTCAGAAAACAAAACATATATTTGTGTTATAGTAATACCTGTGCTCTTCCCATACAATCAAATCCTTTTTATGACAGACTATACTACCCTTCCTATTCCTACTTTTTTTTAAACACAACTTTAACTCATATTAGAAATCAAATCAAATATAAGAGCACAGGTATGAGATGGAAGTGCTGTGAGATTGGTTTGCGTGATTAGAATACACCTACACTTATAGTATATGTTATGGAAATACATTAAATAGATTGAAAACTTATAACATCTCAGATGTTTGGATCTCTCTCTCTCTCTCGTGTCTATTGTAGAGTAAATGTGAGGCACTGTTAGGTAAGAGTACGTAAGACTGTATGACAGCCGCATCCCAACAGTGCGACTATTATTAAGTGTTTTTATGCAAAACTTATTTCCCGTTCTTATCATTCATTCAACTGTTAATGAAAGCTATGATATGCAGAGTTCACGAGAAATGTTATTAAAACTCATAAAAACACTTTATATGTCAGAGCACTGGCTGTTATGGACCACTATTTCCGGTATAATCGAGTTTTTGTTCATTTATTTCGCGGATAAATAATTTGTTGGTCCGTTGCGGAGGGATTTGCTGTTCACTGTATGCGATGGCTGTCTGTATGCCTGTCCTCTCGCACTAACACTAACTAATTGTTTTCGTATTGACTGTTCGTTCACTGTGTCAACAGTCCATACAATACAACAGCGCTATTGTAATACACTATTCAACTAATTCTGTTGTTGTGTTGTCTTTGGGATAATAAAAGCTTTTTTCAGACACGGGTTTGACTCGAAAATAGCGATCAAATGAATGAATAGAAACAATCGATTTTCAATAATGTTTTTTCCTGTCTTTCTTTTAAAAACATATATCTATTTATTATATATATTACACACAAAGTCTGCTGTAGTATCGGACACACCATTCGAGGTAAACCTACGCCCAAACGAATCTATTGTCATCTAATCTATTAGTGGAGTAATAAATGCATACAATTCTGTGTGTCTTTAAAGAGAGCATAAAAATATAATTCAATCAATCAATCAATTTATTACACCAATTAATCTTCACTCACAAATTAAACCTAAATTTAGAGAGAGAGAGAGAGAGAGAGAGAGAGAGAGAGAATATTGAATATTTGCTTATATAATATCTGTGGTAAAGTTATACAACAAAAACATCAATATATACTGTATATTGGGGTATATTTTTTGAGCACCACTTTTGCAGTACAATCCAAACCTGAAGGCGTGATGTTTTTAAACTTTTTTGCTTCACTTCTATTCTTTACACTATTTTAAAGGAAAATTAATGCAAAGCAATGACCAGACGTTTAAATACATTATATTCTGACGCCCTTTGGGTAAACACAGAGAGAATAGGAGACTGCACTTCATGTGATGATCCCTTTCCTCTGAAAAGGGACGAACACTTATATTAGGAAACTTTAGACAAAGTACCAATAATTGCAAATTTATATTTTGCTTTATTCATTGTTTTCTTAAGGAAGTTACGAGCCATACGGTGCCCACAAGTGTGTGTTATGTGATATAATTTACACATTTATGGCTACAGTTGGCGTAAAGTAAACGCCTGTTCCCTGGCTTGTAGTTTCCGGTTAGAGCCGTATCTCTCCTGTAATTTAGACGATATGTCTGTTGTTATTCAATAAGTTGTGTTCAAATAATTTATATCTCATATAATTCACACATTATATTCAGTGGTGTATATTCAGCGCTATATTTATAATGTAGTGAATCTTTACTATAAAGCGTAATATATTGAGTAATCTTCTCTTATATAACTGTAAATATCTCGAAATAACAGTCTTTAGGGGTCTTCGTTGCCGTTGGCTTCAGATATAAACGCTTTTATATAAATGAAAAATAAGAATTTGAATCGACTATAAAATGCATACTTTAAGAAATTCATTGATAGTAATGATACACTTTTCAAGTCAAATACTGCTTTTATTTGTGAAAGAAGTTTGATAAAATTCTTTTACACTGAATATAGATTGTCAATATTCACAACATTAACAACATTACACGAGAGAGAGAGAGAGAAAGAGAGAGAGAGAGAGAGAGAGAGAGACCTTTTTAAAGGATATAGTGTACAGTATATTGTGTGTTAACAATAAGTTTAATTCTCTAATGGATGTGATATAAAGTTATATTCTTGATTGAGATGAGTATTTCGTGCAAAAATACAATTATAAATATATTAATCGTTTATTAAATCAAATTATATAATAACATGTATTTCTGGATATCATTACCTTATATGAGAACTCAAATTTTGACATCAGTTTCATGTCATACCAAAACATGTTAGGAATTATTTTGCTATAAATCTATAATTAGTTGGCAATGGATTTATTTATTTTGATTGAATTGATGGCTAAAGTATTAAATATTGATAACATGTTATTATAAAATATCAAAATCAATGTTGACTTTTTGCGAGCCATTCATTCAATTTATTATTTTTTGGTTCAATTGTTGTGTTTGTGATTAAACTTAAACTTAAATAATACATTAAAAAATTGCGGAAAACAACTGATATAATAAATTTTGATTTCAATTCAAACACAAACTGATAGATCACAACATACAGTATTGTAAGCCCAGTCTGTATTACCAGCCCTATTGTACACAAATATTTTAGAGAATATAATTATCATAACATTCTAGTGTGAGAACTAACATAAAAAATATATTATTTATTATAAATAATGGCAAAAATATTTTATTTTTACCATAATTTTTATGCGGGTTTTCAATATAACAAAGAATTTCACAAAAATGTAAACAATGGATATTTAATTTATTTGAACCGTAAGCATATATAAAAAACTACAGGCGCTGTACATTATGTTGCTTAAGAGGAACGGGTGTATCATTTCGTTATAATATACATTATATCTGTAGATTGCCTTGCATTATATGAATTTTATTATAACAGTATCTCATGAACAAACATTAAGGAAGTTTTCTGAGAGAGAGAGAGAGAGAGAGAATATTGAATATTTGCTTATATAATATCTGTGGTAAAGTTGTACAACAAAAACATGAATATATACTGTATATTGGGGTATATTTTTTGAGCACCACTTTTGCAGTACAATCCAAACCTGAAGGCGTGATGTTTTTAAACTTTTTTGCTTCACTTCTATTCTTTACACTATTTTAAAGGAAAATAGAGAGAGAGAGAGAAAGAGAGAGAGAGAGAGAGAAAGAGAGAGAGAGAGAGAGAGATGTGGTTAAATGTGAGGCATACAGTAATCACTGGCAAATCGAGGGCACTGGATCAGTGGTCAGCACAACCGTTTATATTTGCTTTCCAAACCCCAAACCTCTTTCCCAAAAGCCCTTTTCCCCACACATGATATAATAATAACGACTCTATTTTAAAGTAACATAAAATTCACATAATCTCTAAATAACTAATAAATCAAATTATATTTATTTGAAGTGCACTCCAGAGAAATGATTAAAATATTAAATTAGTTTTTTTCTGGAGTCAAAACTAATCTAAAAGTTCTCACTAAGAATTGGAGGAAACAATTATTATGAATATACAGTATATTATTATTTACTGTAGCAAAAAATGTATTTCATAAAAAAGTAGAGATGCAAAGTAAGACTAACGTAAATGTATTCCTAAAAAAATATTACACAACTCCTTAAGAAAGTCCTCAAACAACAAATTTTTTCATATATTTTATTTGACTGATGTTAATGCCCTTCCAGTCAACTCACGCTTACATACATTTATATCACGACTTCTTGGCTCTGAGAGAAAAAGATTTTGATTTTATTTTTATTATTTTGTTATATATTTCTCTCACTTGACTCTATCGCCGCGAAAATCTACAAGAATTGTGGCGAAAAATAATAATATCTTTTTAAACACACATATTATTTACAATCAATAATTCCTTTTACACTATAATTGTTTTCCAATTCATCTTCTTTTTCCATTGAAAACCAATCCATTCTTTACTTCTCTTTTTTATCTCACATTTTATTTTGTTTTTTATATTCTCGTAAATATTTACCGATTGCTTGAATGCATGGATTTGTATGACTGATGGCTCCTATCATTGTGTGTTACAGGCGTTCAATGCGGCGGGACTTGTGGTCCAGTTCTGGAACCCACTCCACGATAATATCATCGTATGGTTTGGTGTCATAGAAGGCATACTTCTGCCGATCGCTCTCTACATAACGGACGACCCATTTAGGGACGCCGTCAAGAGGAGCTTTCGCAGGAAAAACTACCGGTGCTCTGATATTAGTAAGAGTAAGTACTTTTGTTTCAAATTTGTCCAATCCCATCTAATTATGACTCCAATTACTTAATTAATATGAACTCAAAAACAACGCAAAACTTGAAGACTTTTCTCTCGCTTTTTGTTGTTTTAATACTTTTGAGTTCAAATCATTATTATATGATTATTGGAGTTATTATAAAATTAAATGCAATGAAAGAAACAAAACTAAAAGTTATTTTGTTTGCCCCACGAATGGCACACTACTTGTGCCCCCAAACAGGCAGCGAAGGCCCGTTTCCTCTATATTTTAATGACTTCGCGCTCATTGATAAGCCATATGTCGGTGCTATGAGTAGTATACCGACCGCTAAACTAAATACCTCGTCCTCGCCATTGACTGTGGTCTCCAACTACCGGCGCTCGTCTATGAGAGCCAATGAGAAGCACCGGCGAACCAATACTAATGAACCGCTAATGCGAGTCAATACTAATGGTTTGTCTTCATTACGCAAACCCAAGGCATCGAAAGCTAGCGACAAATATATGTTTCTCAGTATTTATGGCGTCGATAAAGTCATACCTGTCAGCAAGCAGAGCATTCAATACAACACCGGCACCGGTAGTAGTCATGATGAGCACTCATTAGCCAATCCATACGCCCCTACCTATAAAAACAGTACAACTCTATCGACTTTCGCCGGTTCTGACAACTCTATTAGCAAACCAACGATCGATTGCAGTAAAGGCTTGGATGACAAACACCAGCAGTATGTGAGCGATAGTAAAGTGTGGTATAGTCCTCATAGCGGCAAACATTACGACCAAAAACTGAACCCAAACTTAATCGATACGAAAAGCTCATCAAAAGCTAAATATGCAAACGAAGAGCACATTTACGCCACACTTTCCGAAACATTTAGCGTCAGGTCTACTCTTCCCGACAAAAGACAATTACAGCAAAAGTTACAGAAACTTAATGACTCGATAGACAACCCCAATGACAGGAACGACATCTCCAATGAGATAAATATGCAAAACGCGAGTATAATCTCTGCGTTCAATTCGGCGCACAATTACCCTAAGAGTTGCGGCACCGCTAGTGTGGACGGGCTGTCGATGAGTGGCGTGTCGTTCACCACATTAGCGAACGACGACTTCGAGTTCACCAAAGGCTCGGACACTCAGACAACCACTGAGAGGACACTTAACGACGAGAGCGACGACCGAATGGACAGCAGTTCTGTGGGCTCGTCGTCGTCGACGGGCTCGTACTCCATGGATGAGCCGCTAAACAAAAGCCATATCTACGATAACTTAGCGTTTGAATGCGATAATAGCCATAATAGCCATACGAGTGCCGGTGCCGGAGTCACACCATCGCAGGGCTCGCGTAACGCCTCCGCCGCACATCACTTGAGTTCTTCAGTTTCGGCCATCAATTATGTGCAGAGGAATGACAGCTCTATTGTTCACAAATCGATGGCAAGTAATGCTTATTACAAACCAAAAGGTCGTCAATCGTTCTCCACTTCAGACATTCATAAAATCGATTCAAATATTTATTCAATGCTTTATAATAATAACCAAAATATTCATATTCATGCAAACGCCGTGAAAAGCAAGCGTTCAGTAATTGATAATCACTTAAGTGTTGACACAACCACTCGTTCAGCGCATCCCAGAAAAACTCTCAGCGAAACAAATCTTTTGATTTCGTCGACGAGTCGACAAAACTCGGGTTCACTGCAGAGGATCGATGAACACCACGACAGACGCAGGGGTGTGGGCCCTGTCGGTCATCCAACCCATCACCGATACGGCACTGCCAGAAGTGGTCACCTCTACAACACACAGAGTAGCGATAGTCTCGACAGCAGCACAAGCGCCGACTCGTCCGCTAATAATCACAATAATGCGGACATTCACTCAAAGTTGGCGAATGTCCTCAAACGCAAGACGAATGCCAATAATACGAGTTTATCTGTCATTCGGCAAAACGCTTACATCAATAACAGGGCTAACCATAAGAGCAGATCCCGCACTAAAAAGTATAAGAATAGCAAACGAGAAGACAATCAACAGTCGAGCTATAAGTCGAGAAAAGCCAGAGACTTAGCTCACAATCAAAAAGCCGCTGATCTGTCAAAAGCTAATAACAATTTATTTGGGAGTCAATCGGTTTGGAGTATTGAGAGCAAAAGCAAACCCATTGTTCGCAACCTGAATGGTCTGACCAGAATCGGGTCGTACGCGCAGGAATGGTATCTCAATAAGTCGATGCCTGACTTGTGTTCATTGGATTCATTGGACAACTCGTGTCCGTCACCGGTATTCTCGCCATTATATAAGAGAGAGTCGAAGAAATCGCTTAATAAGGAATAGATTATGGACTGAAGTATAATAGACTGTGAATTATAACTATACATAAGAATTGATACATTTTTATATAAATAGAAATTTTATAATTTATATATAATATATATGCATATTTGAATTTTAATGTTATTTTATTATTTTGTAGAAAAAAGTTGAAAATAAATGATTAATGCATTTAAAAAATAATTAAAGTTAAGATAAAAACTTAAAAAATAAATAAAAACATTTAAATATACAAGTCTTTTAACATTCAATAGAAAAACAGTTTAAATTATTTAAGAAAATCTAATTTAAAAAATTAGTTAAACTATTTAGCATTGACGTGAAAATTTTGGTCATCGATCTGATAAGAATTTAATTATACTAAAAATGTTTTGATAACTCAATCATAAGTTTTGACATGAATTATACAAATAATCGCATTATAAGTCAATGTTTC